TCAGGTGCGTCGGCTGATCCGTATCTTGCACTAGCTGCAATACGTAGTAAAAGTATTTATGTTGTGCTGTATACTATATTTGAATATATTGGCAGCTTTTCTGAATGGAAAACTAGAAACCAAAATGTAATACGGAGGACCGTTTGTTAGGCGGTTATGCTGTGCTGTACACTCTATTTGAATATGTTATTTTTGTCGGTAACTCGAAGACTGGTAAAAAATGGAGATGCATGAATTGATCAGCCACTGTTGTTGCCCTACATACCCTGCAGGTGCTGTTTTGTTTTTGTGTGTTTTGTTTATAAAGAAAAAATACATGAATGAATTAGTTGCCTACTTACGTTGCGCTTTATACTGTATTCAGATGTGTTGGTTGTGCATTTATATCTAAAACTGGAAAGCAAAAAAATATATAAATTGATGAGTTACTTGCATGTCGAGCTGTATACTTTCTCTTTGAATATGCTGTTTGTGTTTTGAAACCGGAACCCTGAAAATAAAGAAGAAGCGAATGGATCAGTTAGCTGCTTATGTTTTGCAGTATAATCTACTTAAGTATGTTGCGTGTTAGTAAACCGAAAACTGGAAAGTAAAAAAAAAAAAGAATCAAGTGGTTGCTAGTCAGTTTGCTCCGCTTCTCTTCCTATAGTCGTGCAGACTGCACAGGCGTGCGGCTTCTGTTGCTTCCTGCTGCTCTTAACAGCATCCCAGCAAGCGCATCATTTCTTCTGGTTTGTTTATCTCTTATGCTGAATGAACGAGTTGCGTTTCTGTCTGTTGTCGGTGTCTCATGCTGCCGTGGTGCAACATTCTGTTGCAGCCGTCTCGGAGTTTCTGTGCTGCGGACATCATCTGGCTGTGCTTCTGCATCCAGACGCAGCGCCACAGTTTTTTCTTATGCTGGGCTTGGGTGTACCCATATGTGTTTTTGCCTCTCCCCGCGTCGCTATTGCCTGTGCTGCTCCCCGTGGGGGTGCTTAGTTTCTTTGCCTCTGCTGCAAAACACGTTCCCTTTTGTTATATATCTCTTCCTGTTTGTCTCAGCGCGACTTTTCTGTTTACCTTGTCAATGTCTTTGATACCGCCGTGGCAGCTCGGACCCTGGCTATTCCAGGTGGTGCCTCTCTGGCTAACCTGCTTAGCTTCTACTTAAAAAAGCAAAAGGATACGAAGATGCAGCTAGCGGACTGGAGAGTCAGGTGCGCCCTCCACCGGCTTCTTGCTGCCAGATAACTGTAGCGGTGTCGTGCTGCCCGTGTCGAGTTTGAACCTTGGAGCTCACGCATGCTGCCGTTGCTGTGGATATTCGCTGCATTTGTGTATTTGCTTCTGCTACCTCTGCTGCTACTCCTGCTGCTGCTGTTGCTTCTGCTTAGACCTCTGACGGAGGAGATGAAGACCTACGGCCGGTCTGATACGCATTACCTGCCTTACATCTACCAATGCATGCAGAACCAGATTCTCGCCAGAGATGATCAGTGCGTACTGCTGCTCTTGCTGCTGCGTTTGCCGGTGCCTTTGGCGCTCCTTATACGGTTACTGTGTTTCATGGTGCTGTTGCCAGCGGCGCCGAGACAATAGCAGTTTGCCCTTCACCGGGGCGTGAAACAAGCGGCTGTATTTTGTTCGTATCTGCTGCTCTTGCGTTCATTGGACGGACAAATTTATTGCTCTTACTGCTGCTGCTGCCGCTGCGAGTGCCACCACAGGACGGGGATGTATAACCTGAGCTGCATCACGCCCGAGGAACTCGGGGCTCCTACAGCTGTATGTCTCAGGCACAGTAAAGACAACAGCTTCCTTCGCTGATGCGAACAGACGCAGCCTTCAACACAGCAGTGGGGAGAAGAACAGCATTATAGGGGGAGGAGCAGCCGGCGGCATCTGCAGCTGCAGCAGCAGCTGCTATAGCTGCAGCTGTTTGGCGAAAGTGGGGGTTCGTTGTCTGTGCTTTTTGCGGGTGTTCAGTCAGGGCGAGCTGCAGTGCTAGGAGTGTTGGAGCGAAGCAGAGACATTTGCCTCTCCCTGTACACTGAAGGGCCGTTTGACGAAGAAAAGGAAGCGAACCAACTCCTCAAAAGAAACAATACCGCACTCGCGCCTCTTTCCTTTGCCGTTCTCGTAAGAAAAGCTGATGGTGTCTCCTGTGTTGCTGCTGTTGCTTCGGTCGCTGCTGCTGCTGCTGTTGGTGGTTGTGGCGGTCATTCCCAGCAGTCCCTTGGAGGATTGTGGTTGCGGCTTGCACTTCCATCTGGTTTTCATTTTCTTGTGTCAAGGCTGTCGCTGGTGCTTGTCGCGATCTCGTGCTGCTGCTGCTGGCTTTGCTTCTGTTGCTGATTCATTCTGGATGCATCTGGCTTTTCTTTACTGTGGGATCAGAAGGGACTCCTCTCATGGCGAGATTCTGTGGCGCGGAAGAGGGACGTCAGCCCCCACGCGGTTCTGGCAAACGCCTGCATCTTGCTGCTGGCGCAAAGGGTGAGGAGAAAGCACATGATGCCCAACCAGGAGCATCATCCGCTGCTGCAATAGCAGCACAGAGACGGAGAAGTAGTTGTTACTGCTGATCTCGATCTGCCTCTTACCTTCCGAGTTGCATCGACAGTCCTGAAAAACGCTACTGCATCCCCGTCTGCACCTGTGGCGTTTGTGCTGTTGCGGCTGCTGCCGTTGCTACTGCTGCTTCAGAGGCCGTCAAACCACGTCCAGCTGCGTCATGCCATCCGCCCCACACCACCAGCGGTTCACCGCTACGGCGTAGAGATCCTTAATGCTATTCAAGTGCGCTACCCGCTGCAAAAGAAAAACCTGCAACCCGAGCTTCTGGCCCAGCTGCTGCTGCCGCCCCCCCCGCCGGAGCATGAAAGGCGCCGCCATGACACAACTGCTTTGCTGCTGTTGGTGATTTTCCCTCAGGCCGCCTTAGAGAAAGCGGTCGCCTCTCCTGCTCCCACAGCAGATCCTGACCAGGATCAACGACCAGAAGAGCAACAGCAGCAGCAGCAGCAGCAGCAGCAGCGGCAGCAGCAGCCAGAGCCGGTGGTCGACGACATGGATGATCTGTTGCCGTCTGCTACAGTCCTTCGAGAAGCTGTAGCTGCACAGCAGCAGCAGCTGCTTGCCGCGACGGATGCTTCGACGTCCCCTT